CATCACCATCATCATCATCATCATCATCATCATCATCATCATCATCATCATCATCATCATCATCATCATCATCATCATCATCATCATCATCATCATCATCATCATCATCATCATCATCATCATCATCACCAACAGCAGTTTTCATTACTTGATAAACTGGTACGATTTTTTACTCTGATAAGAGATGTTTCGTAGGTTTAGGCGCATTCCACACGTTAGGCCACACGTTGTATATCAGTGTTTAGTAGCCTACCGTACAACACATTGGCCGGTTAAAGACTAAGAAATTCCTGCAATCTGCGGCAGTCACTGTACGTTTCTAATTTGCCACTACTACTGCTACTACTGGTACCCCAATCACCACCACCACCACCACCACCACCACCACCGTTGTCGTCGTCGTCGTCAAATATAGATGGGACTCATTCAAAATCTGGCAAAACATCCATTAATTATGTGTGCCTGGTAGTCATCTGGTGGATTCTGGGTGGCTTACTTAGGAAATCCTGTTTGGGCAGTCAGCTCGGATTCGAATTGAGCGGCAGAGGCCACATCCGAAAAGATCCTCTGCAGTCTGTATCGCCATTCTGTGCGGGCCGCGTTTGCCCGCCAGATGGTAGTGGCTTTACAGTAGGTGGGCTAACTCATGAAATGTCAGCCGAAATTTCCAAATGCGTTCCAGTTTCGAAAAGAATAACTAAGTAGGGTTGTAAAACTAGTCGGCCTGCAACACAATTCCATAATAATTCGGTTACCTCAGGATGCCGGCTTTCGAAAGAACTTCTTTCCGACTGCATGCAAGAAATGTACTCTGCAAAAATGACTACTTATGTAGCATGCAATTTTCTCATTGGCTCCCACAGAACACACCACGTTTTCACACAAGGCAGTGGATGGCTTTAATCTCAAATGAGTGAGAGGGCCATAGAGGCCTGATTAGGAAGGAACTAGTGAGTCTGAGTCGCAGTCTACCAGCCAGCAAGTCCACAGAAAAAGGACAAAAGGATACCAGAGGGAGAGAGAGAGAGGAAAGAAAAGAGTGGAGATTTCTGGTTTGGTAACTCTCCTCATCCTTAAACACACGAACTGCAGGCACTGCCGGAGTCACCCGTTCATAGGATATTTCCCATAGAGCATACTGACTGTGGTAAAGGAGTCCTTAGTTAAAAGCTTCACTCGTCCCATTGTATTAAGGTGCACGATCTGGAACCCAGTAAGCTGTTCAATAACGAGCAGTAACAAATACAGAAAGGTGACTAAAGTGAACAGGTATATATGCATAAATGCATAAATAAATGAAAAATTTCTGCGCAGTTTTAGCGCCGATATAATGTACAGTACAATCCATGCAACCTTGCCGCAAACACCTCCCAAAAGCCCAGTGAATCTACTTGCATGAGCATCAGTCTGTTCAAGTGATGAGGTCAAATCACGCAAACAATACAAGGGATAACATGCCAACGTGAATTGTGTCTGCAGCTGTTCCCGATAACGATTTCACTGACAGACGGACAAGTTATGGAGGGCGTTAGGGTTAGCTGCCTCGGTCATCCAAGGGGGTAGGATTCGATGCTGTTGAAACACGCAGTAACGCACAAGATCTCCAATGCCACAAAGCTAACTCCAGTTAGCCGACAAGACTGTGGCGGAATTACGTGTTAAGAAATTGCACCACATGGCGCACATGTGAGGGAAAAAAAGCATGCCCGTCGATGGCGCATACTGGGTCCTGTCAGTTACCCAGACATCCGACTGCCCTAAACAGCAGTTCACTCTGCTACCGGCAGCACAGGAACAGGTCACAGACTGCATTACTTCCTAGTGCAGAACAGTCGCGAGATCCCTTCTAACATGCTGCCGACAATCCTTAATCTCCTGTCGCACTACCTGCTTGACGTAGGTCTGCGAACATGTGAAGATCACTGGGGTTAAATCTGTTTGCCATCCCCCCAATCACCAGAGCGCTCATCAGGCTGTAATTTATTGTGTTGCGAAGGTCCAGGCCACCCCAATCTCACTTAACCCCTTGTAGGACTGACACGGACTCCAATCTATACCAGAACACTTTTCGGCACAACGTCATCAGCATCACTATGCAGATGATGGGGAGCTGGTCCTGCAAGTCAAGAAAGACGCAATGTCGACCAAGTCATGTGAGAGGGGTAGGAAGTAAGCATGATAAAACCTGACATGCAGTCGCGAGGTCGACTCGTGGACGCCGTCTCAGGCAAGATATTTGCCACCTTCTGAACTCAAAGATTACCCCAGTGTTCTTTCCTTGCTTGGACTTCCAGGGTCGCAGTCCACATCTTTTTTGCTCCGCAACTTCTCACCAAATTTTTTCCCGACGTGCTGAAAACCGCTTTTTCCACCTTCAATCCAGCGGCGGGAATTAATTTCTCCCTTTTGTCCTCTGTTCCGTCTCAGAGCGGAGATAATTGACGTTAATGACATCGCCTCTCCCTCTCTCTCGCCATCCTTTCTTTGCCGAAAATTCTGCAGGATCTCATGTCGCCCTCTCCTTCATTCAACGAGACAGCCCGACTCCGCGCCTAATAAGTCGTATTTTTGTGGGGATTCGCTTTCTGATCGGAGAGGAGACAGTTCGCTGGAAAAAAGGGATAATTTCACCAAAGTTCTTTTGCCGCTACTTTAAAAAGTGTTTCATCGTTCAATAAAAATCGAGGGGAGGAATTCAGTATTTTATTCTTTGGAATTGTAAAGGAAACGATTAAATCGCTGGCAGTCTTACCGCGTTTTTGCTCACAAAGGTTATTGAAAACTCGGCAGGTGCAATCCCGAATTCCAACGTTTGTGCGTAATTTGAACATATCCTCGTGAAGGAAAAAAAATCCGATTTTCCGCGTTATCTCGAATTTCCTTCTTTCATTAGCATCACTTCACAACTTAAATTACCCGACGAGTATCACAATCCGCAATTCCGGATGGCAGGCTTGAGAGAATAGTTTATGATCACTGAGCATGTTACAGGACATGATCGCCCCGTTGTAGCTTGGGGCTCAGTCTCCAATCCTCGCAGGCAGTCGCATAGCGACTAGTAACATATGCATATAGCTGAATACCGACAAAGACAAGGGTGATCGGAGTTGCCAGTTCTGGCTTATTAGCCGTCATCAGCCAGTCATAGGTTATATTTTAGGACAGCTAACTGGCTGCACGCCACGTCAGACATCTCCCCACTTCACGATAATTTGTCAGGGATCGCGATCATAGGACACGCCTTGTGGTGGAGGCCGGAGAATGATGCCTAGATAATAGA